AAACCTATGGAATAATGAACTTCCAACCAAAACCAAATTATATAGTAGAAAACCTTCACTATATAAAGATAACAAATGCTACAGCTATAATCAAGTGAAAGACAACTACCACCCCTTTCTGTGTCAACACAATAGAATATACATCCAAAATCAAGCCATAACAATAATTCAGAAAGCGATATTCAAGTACATACCCAGAGAAATAAAAAGTTAAGCATTAACTACAATAACAAGCAATATAACTTTGGACACTTCGCAGCAGCTCAAATTATTCATCAAAGGGGCTTTCTTTAAATCCACTATTGAAACAATACACCAAACAATTCGTAATGCAACCAAAGCAAAAGATTGCATAGTCGAAATATCAGAAAAATGGAAAAAATTCCTGTACTAACTTGGAAGGCCAGAAACGAAACATTTCAAAGGTGAAAAGAGGAATATGGAATCTCAAGGAAAAAAGAAAAACATCATAAATATGAAAAAACATCTCCTAACCCAGCCAGATGGATAAATGAACAAGCTATCAAAGATAGCTACATAGACTTAATTAACCAATATATGAAACGATTCATTCTTAAAAACACTAATATTATGTCCATCTTTTACTTTGAACCCAGCACTAACTTTGCCTTGGCAGGTTAGTCCTCCCTTAGTTTGGAGTGACAACAAGCTATCTGGTGAATTTTTTAGAGCATCTAACTAGTCCTAAAAAGTTTAGTAGCATGTATGATATTCTTTGTAATCCCTACAATATATAGTTGCATATTACTTTATCAAGCTAATAAACAAGGCTGAGCCAGCTTAAAAAAAAAAAAAATATATATAAATAACAAGTACTGAATATATTATATAATTAAATAAAAAATAATTGTTACTATTTTTATATTCCAATAATAAGTCGAAATAAAATATTAAATCTTCTTAATAATTAAATACACAACAACAAATTTTTATATAAAATTAAATAGATTTTTTTTACTTTTTTTATTAATTATATATTTAATATTTTCTTGTTTTTATTTCATTACTCTTAATAATATTCATATTGATTTAATTATAATATTGAAAACTATATAGACAATATAATTTGTTGTACTAAATAAATAACAAATTTAAAACTTAAGAATTTAAAATTTTAATATATAATAAAAAAAAAACTATTTTCTACTTGTATCAAAATTTTTGAAAAAAATTTTTTATGGTAACAATCCAAAATATTGAAGAAAAAATACAACAATCATAAAAAGCTTCTTTAGTAAACATGTCAAAAAGATCAACTAGAACAAGAGACTTGATGGTTAGCTACATAGGTGAAAGGATCATTATAAGTAATAGCAAGGTTTTTAAACAGTTTCTGAAAACCAACCTGATAAAAAAGTTTAATTTTTTAATTAGCACAAAAAAGAACTATATATTAACTGGAAAGAAAAAGACAATAGAAGGAATGAAGGATAATCAGATTGATACACAATTTCAGAAAGATATGAAGCTATTAATTATATAGCAAAATATTAACAATAATCATAAAATTAATATTTCAAGAACTTCAGAATTAATATAGGAGACTATTATTGAAACCAAATCAATCTCATCCATCATAGTAATCTCAATAGCAACAATGACAAAAGAGGGAAAGAAGAATCCAAAAAATCATAACTATATTACTAACAACAACTTTACTATAATAGCAATTCAAAGTTAGTAAAACGTATAATTATCTTATAATAAAAAATATAATGTGAAGTTTTTTAAATCTGAATATATAGTATAATATAAATCTATATTGACTAAAAAAACAATTCTGTATTATTAATAAGGAAAAGATTAAGCAAATCAAAAACAATCTAAGTTAAAAAGGAAATTGAATTTGTATATATATAATTTTTTATTTAATATACTATTTATAAATTAATAAATTTAAACTTGAAATAATGCAGCTCTCTTGTTACCTAATTAACAAGGTCTAAAACTAAAATTTATTTATTTATTGTGAATTAATTATCTAACTATAATATTTTAAATATATTAAAATCCTATTTCATATAACTACCTTATAATATTATATATAATTAATAAAAAAACTTGGTTAAAATTATGAAGCGATCCAAATTACAATATCTATAAACACTAATAACTTTACTTTTTTTAATTCAAATTAATTTACAATTATTAATTATTATATACAGTATATTTAATATAAATCTTTATAATATCTTTGATTTAGTGTTACTTTTAAAATTATTGCTAATAAATATATAAGAAAATTTAATCTATTAATTAATATCAAGTTCAAAACTATTGTAATTACTGATATTATTATATAAGTTAGACTTTTTAGACAACTAATTTTTTAAAAAAATTTTATTTAGAATTTAATTGTACTAATTATATTGTAAGTGATTGAATTATGTAAATAAAAAATCTGTTTTTGGAGAACCATAGTAATTGATTGGATCATATAAAAGCAAATTAGAACTCTGAAATTCTACTCTTAAAATTATTTGCAAAAACAAAACTAATGTTATTGAAATCACTTATAATACTGATAATTTTCATATTTCTACTAACAAAAATAAAATTCTTAAATAAATTTAAATATGAAGTTGATTTTAAAAAACAGGAAGTCTATACAGTATATCAAATATTGTGTTTGAATCAAGACTGAAAATTCAGCTATAATTTTTTTAATCATATTGAACTAAAAAGCCTATTTATAAATTCATTACTGGAATCTTGACTAAAACTAACAGATCAACGTTTACAAAATCAAAGATACTTTTATTAATAGTATCTCCAAGAATGCTACTCTAATTAAGCAGAAATCATATAAGGCCTCACTTAATAAACAGGAATTGATAAAAAAAAATTGAAGAAATGCATCAATGAGGAATAATCAGTCCTATCACAAGCTCCTGGTCTTTCCCTGTTATTATAGTACCCAAGAAAAATAATCAGCAGCACTTCTGTGTTAACTATAGAAAACTTAATGCAGTTAAATGCAGTTACTGAAAAGGATGTTTATTCCATGCCAGTTGTTGATAATCTTCTGGAAATCTTCAAGGCGACCCAACTATTTCTAAATTTTTAGCTCGAAATTTTGGCATTCTTTGTCAACGACAATTACAGGAATTTTATACAGATAATCTACACGTGAAAAAAATATATCATCTTTTCGCTTATGAATAATGCGAAAATTCTACATGTTTTCGATTTAACAATAAAGATCATGAAAAGCGCATATTTCTTTGAATACGTAATAAATAAAGTGAAAAGGTGGTACACAGCACTTCGGTATATAAACCTTCGTATCCAAAGTATTCAGTTGTAAGAGAAATTTACACCGACAACCAGACTAAATTTTTCTGTCGTCTTTATAATTAAGACACTTGGCAAGAACGCAAACGGACGGTAAAATTATAAAAAGGGCTTTAAGTTTTTAAATTTTTATGTCAAAATACTATTGACTGGGGTCTGATAGTCAGTAACCTCAAGCTGTACTACCTGCAACAGTATCAGAACAAACATTTATAACGAACTTTTTTAATACGACTAAGAATTTAAGGAAACCTGAAACAGAAGATTTAATAGCTTTATATTTACAAAAAAACATTAAAATGATCTCTATGATAAAAAGTTTTTACAAGGTTCAAAATAAATAAATGTTACTTTTGTTGGGAGATTCGGATACCGGCAAATCAACTTTTAACTGTTTTCTGACTCATAAACTTCGTGAAGACCATAGATTCTATGGCAGAGGCGAACGCATCTCATTATTTATTTGGTTGTCTAATATTTGATAATCTTGAAGCAGATTTAATTGAAAAGCGCTTGAAAAAATTTTTCTCAATAGAACAAATCAAATAGTTAAAGAAGATTTTGGATGGGTAGGATAAAATAAACATGAAAATATTTAGTTTTCGAACAGAGGATTAGTTTAATCCTCATATAGACCGGCACTACCAGTCAAAGATTTCAAGAATTAATGGTGGCTCCCTTTTAAATGGACCAAATCTAAATATATATTGAAAAATATGTTGAGAGTGTTAGCTCAGAAGAACGAGCTTGGGATGTTAATTATTATCTGGAAGCCATCGAACAAATTCCTATCCCAAAAGAACTCTTAAGAAATCCGTTTATTTTAAGGAATGCATTAGATATCTTGCTAATTTTAGCTGAAAACAAAACCGTCTTTAAATCAACCTGGATTACTTGTTAAGGCAATAGATCAGCTTCTGCTAGAGAAATTTTCTGTGCACTAAGTTCTGAAAAATTTAAAGCATTTAAAGAATTAAAAGAAAAATGTTTTATTGAAGAGGCATAAAATATATTATAAATTTTGCTGTTAAAATGATGAAACAAGAGGGTAAAGAGGAAAATAAGTGGATTATTTCTTATAATCCCTTCAAGGATGAAGGCACCTGGAAAAAGATTTTTCTGTTGCCAAGAGAAAACACAATTGCCGTGTGAAGCATCTTTTAAAAAAAAAACAATTTTAAAGAAGCTTGCTTTTAAAACAAACAAATATTCAATATTCTTTATTGCATAAATCTTTGTTAGAATACGTATTGTGTATCAAACGACTATCAGTTAGAAACATCGGTAGACGCAATGTCAAATACATTAAAGCTCGTGAGAGAACCACAATAATAATTAAAATATTTGCCAAACTCACAAAAAAGGAGATGTAATAATTAAGAAAAAAATACTAAAAAAGCAGGACAAATCTGGAATTGTTTTTAACGAACAAAATTTAAGTGATTGTGGTTTTTTTTTTTTGTATATTAAGTAAGGTATTACAGTATAATAATGTAATAAGATCTTTCAGTACGGTCTCCTATAAAATAGAGCATGAAACTATACTAACTAATATTGGGCAATATATTAAATATTATACGAATCAGACAATTATTTTGGAAATATAATATCCAATGTCTAATTTTAGTATGCATATTAGGTACATTCGCCGTTTTGACAGGTTTGACCACCATCGCACTGCAAAAATGATGAAAATTAAGTTAAAAAGAGAGAAATTTATCGAAAAGATTAAAAGCGCAAATACCCACAACGACATTGCAATCTCCGCAATGTTGGTCGTCAGAATTGGTGTCAACGCAGCTAGCGTCACAAAGTGTTTCGCTGTCGGGACAGGTGCACATTTCATTTAGACAAGTTAGCCCAGGAGCGCACTACAAAATGATTACGAGAATTTAGGAAAAGTTTAGATATTTTTTAAAAAAAAAAAAAAAATCAAATAGCAGGAAAAAAATCAATAAATATACTCACGCATTCTATGCCACATAAGTGTCGTCCTTTTGGACAAGCGGGATGTGTTGGTTTGGGACGGGGACCGGGATGGGGATGAGGATCGGGACCGGGACCGGGATGGGGATGGGGATGTACACGCGATAAGACTATTCATTGAAACAATTAAACTCAAATAATAAAAAGAGATTATACAATGAATCGAAAAAACTTTACCGCAAACAGCGCCTAGAAGAATGACGAAGAGAACAAGTAAATTTTTGCGCATTTTAATTTAATGATTTGAACTTGAGGATTTTTAAAAAACGAAATTTTAAAGGGAAGTAAAAATATTTTTACTCTTTATATAACTTTTTATGTGTATATAAAAAATATTAGTTTCTTTTTAGTTCGAGCATTTAAATAATGTAAAGAATTATTATTATCGATATTTTAGCGACACTCTGACACGAGGGAATTCGAGCGCCGATCTCGTAATCGTCGATAAGAGTAATCAATCAATTAATAATTAATTATTAATTTAATAATATAATTATTACCGTATAATTATTATTTATTAATACATTACTAAAAATATTATAAAATTTATAAAAGATATATAATTTTTGAATAAATACTGTATAAAAGAAGAAATATATATTTTTTTATATTATAATTTTAATCTAACAAAATAAATTTAAATAGAACTAAAACAGTTTTTATATAACCTTATCAAAAAAATTTTAAATATTATAAAAAGTTAATGTATTATTTTTAAAATACAAATGTAAAATATACATAATTTTCGAAAAATTAATTATTAATTTTATATTTAAAAATAATTTTTCATAGTTAAATTATATTTTATATTAAATTACAATAAATTATTATCATTATTATTCATAAAACTATTAGTGATTTAAATATTCTTATTTCGCATATTCTATATTCGTATCAATTAAAAGTTTAAAATTAAATTAATTAGTTAATATAATAAAAACAAAAACTCTTTCCTGTAACCATCTCAAATCTTAAAAATTTTCTTTTTTGGAAATTTTTGGAAAAATGCCAAGGAAAGATGTCTTTTCACAATGGAAACCTCAAGATCACAACCAATGTCCCAACAAGAACAGAATACACAATAAGGTATAAGAAAATAACAAACAAAGACAATGGTTCATGAAGAACCCAACCATATACAAAGAAGCTCAACTTAGAAACCAACAAGTTCCAAGCCAATCAGCAAGCAACAAGCAACCAACAAACTGAACCATTCCAATCAGCAACACATCAAGAAGCTCTCAATCCAACCATTGTACCTGCAGAACCAAACAGCCAAGCAACCACATCTTCTTCATAGATCAACCTAATGGAGCAAGAGAATAGACAAAAAATTCACAACCAATTAACCCAAGCTGAAAAATTCAATACCTCGAAAAGTAAAATAGCAAAAATAGAAGACACAGAAGAGGAAATGGGCACAGAAGACCAGGAAGATTCAGAAACTACATGGTTTACAATAAGAAAAGGAAAAAACAAAGAAACCTCTCTATATAATGGAAGATCAAGACCCAACTCTCCCTTCAACAAGTTAATCAGATATGTCAGAGAAAGATACAAAATAGAAGTTCTGGTCAATCTAGTTAAAGATAAAACAACTTATCAAGAATTGAATAAATCATTATGGTACTCAACTTTCCAGAAGGCCTCTTGATAGTATGTAGTAAAAGAAAAAATGAAGAGATAAAAATTATTACCATTTTTGATAACCTACAAGCTGTCTAACATGTCATCACTATTAATCTACCTGATATCAATAATACAAGATTATCACACATGGAAATTGAATATCAATAATCAATAAGCAAGATTCAGTTATGATATGAGACATTCTCTTGAATACAAAATTTATTGAAGTCAAACAAATCTTCATCAAATATGGAAAAGTCCAAGGTATTACTATGAAAATCCAAAATATTTGGCAATACACTATTATTATCCTTACAAACAAGACTACTAAAGACAAACTAGTGGACCTCAGAAGTATACTTATCAAAAGAGACTTAGTCAGAATCAACAGGAAGAATGGTTACTTATATAAATGAAATAAAAACAAGAAATTACTGCTAAACTATTAACCTTTCTCCAAATACCTTAGTATAAGATCTCAAATATATTCTCTCACAATATAAAGGATGCACATATTATATTACAATATTTATAATAATAGCATATAGATCCAAAAAATTTGCAATCATTAGTTTAGATACACAAGAAGACCTTCTCAAAGTAGTATAATACAAATATACTATGAGAGAAACTGAATTATCCTTTACTCCAATCACTACCAAACTATATGCAATTTGCAACTCAATCTCATATCTAGCATTGACTGTTCAATCAAAATCAAATGATAACAATAGAATAATTAATTACAACAAAGAACAAGTCTTCAAATTTGAAACCCTCTATAACAGATTCCAACCAACAAAAATAACAATAATATATAACTTCAATAAACCAAAACCATAGAGAAATACTAGAGCCAGCTCTTATATCAGTGTCATTCACAACAACACCTTAAGCCCACAGAAAAACTCACAATTACTCACAGAATTTTTGAACTTCACAAAGAAATCTGTCAGGAAATTCAAACAATAAGAATGTAACTTACAGAAATTGATGAATGCATTACCAATTTAGAACTCACCAATAAAGAATACTATGAAACAATGGATAGTGACCAACCCAGTAACTCAATTAGTAACCTCTCACTTCAACCCAGTCACAATCAAACATTCAATTATCAGATAATAGTGTTAAAGACATCAAAGATCATTAAGTACTACTCTACTTATTATTGAATAGCATGCAAAATAGTATGAATCAAATTGTTATAACCTTTGATACAGTTACCAAAACTCCTATCACAATACAATTACTATCTCAAGATTAAAAATGGGTATAACACAGAGTGATAACAATAAAAAAAAATCAAAAAATAAATTATATAACGCAACCACATCCCTTAATAACCCCCTTTGAACCAAATTCAAAGGTATCTACACACTCAACCACAAATTCCTTATCTGACAAAAATAACAATATACCAACCCTGAAACCCATCAAATCAATAAACACTATATACAGTATATACCACATTGATAAAAATACGACTACAACTCAAATCTTTCAATCTTAAAATACAATTGAAATATCATTACAACAAATGTCAGAGACCTTAAATCAAATCCAGGAAAATTACAATTATGGATAGAGTGGATCAACAGACACAAATCAATTATTCTCACTCTTACAGAAACAAACATCAGTAATAAAGAAAGTATCTTTATTCAACTCAACAACTATTAAACCTTATAGAGTAAAAAAAGCAATCAAACCAAAGGATTTGGCATCACACTACTCATAGAAAAAAACCTTTCAAAACACATTTTCCAAAAACAAATATGGAAGGATAGATTGTTACAATAGATCTTCTATAAAGGTTCAAATACAAACTCAGAATAATCACTATTTACTTGCCCTACCAAACACATGAAAACAATCAAGAATATATTCAAGAAATTCTCAAACTTATCAATAATGCAAAAATTGTGAACAGATATATTATAATCCTAGGAGACTTCAACTCTGTTTCTAACTTCAGTATTAACATGTCAAATTCTAATACCTCAAAAGAAATCAATATTAATCAATAGGAAAATTGATTCAATAGCTTGCAAACAACTATTGTATAGATATTTTTAAAGACTTATACCTCCACAGCACCCAATACACTTGAAGCAATTCAGAGAAAACTATCAATAGAATTAATCAAATTTAGATTTTAATATTACCCTATGGCTTCTAATCAATACAAGTATCTAAACACTTAATAAAGAACTTCTAGAGATCATTCATGAAGTAACCTTCTGTAACTATCAATATTGGAACTTAGATCCTTCTCAAGCCAACAAAATTAGAGTACTACTTAACAATAGATTCAGATGGAAAAATATATTATCAGACAAATAGAAAAATTTCGACAAATGCATATACTCAAGACCATAATTAATCTTGGTCAATTCCAACCCCAATAGAAAATACTATAGAAAAAAAATAGAATCTGCAAAAGAATTCAATCCTCCAAATTGTAGCACTTTACATAAAAAGATACAAAGAATAAAAATGTGCTTCAAAACCTTCCTGTAACATGTACAATGTTAGGAAGTCATTTCATCATCATATATCTTAGTTAAAGGAAAACTTTATTAAATATAAACTAGGAGCAGACAACTCTGAGTTGTCAGTAAAGGAAAAAGACAGCCTTTAAATACATGTTTTTCCCATATAAATAAATATAATAAAAATACATGAAATAATATACATATAATCTTAGTGGTTCTCCCGGAAGATCATATGCATATAATTAATAAAAAGAAAAAGAAAATAAAATAAAGAACAATATGATAAAAACAATCATAATGAAATACAATATTAAACAAGTATATCTATGATACCTCTTGTTTCCCCTGAATGGCAAACACAACTATTAACATGAATCTATTAGTGTTTGTCTTATGCTATTAGTAATTCGGGTCTCGCGTCACCTTGGAGCTTCGGGATCGGCGGTCAGGTCATGTGATCTGAAATATTATGTGTTCTAGCAAATCATTAGTGTTTCATGGCCAGAGGTCTAAATCCTTGATTATCTTGAAATCCTATTTGATAACATCTTTCTGACCTTAATAAAAGATGTTTGTCTTATCAAAATACCTATAGTTTCCTAAGACCGTTTTTATAGTTATCATCTGACTTTCAGGTATAAAGTTATGCTTTCATCGGGTGACTTAGGTAAACTTGTTACACTTCCAAACCATCAATATACTGTCAACCTATCCAATTCACCTCTTAGGAATCAGATAGAGACAGAGAACTAGTGCAGAAAAACACCAAGTTAGACTTCTAATATGATA